AATATTAATCATGTAACAAATCTTACTCTATTAATAAAGATCGTGAGAAATGCCTCACTTAACAGTAAAAAAAAAAATTATTAATGAAACAATTAACAACTTTCCTAAACACAACCTATAATACTTCAACAATATTCAAAATATAATACAAATTGCTATTGGTTCAATTTCCTTCTTAGTCCTAATTTCAAACCAAAAACCTATCCCAATCTTCAAACATATACAAATCTCCAATAAATTTCTCGAACTAATATACAACAACATATGGAAACCTAGAAATGATGACAGGATCTTTCAGGAAAAAATTCTTGATATTATGACATAACAAAAAAGAAACAAAAATAATATCAAAAACAAGAACAACCAAACTCAACTTAACAAAAAAAACTTAACCACTAACACAACACCAATAAACTACATCAACAACAACTATACCCTCCACTCTAATATTCTGTTTTCAAATATCTTTCTTAATTGTATCTCACTAACTGAAAACTTATTTTCATAAGATCTGGATGAAAAACTAAATTATTAGGGAGGTGCTGACCTTCAAAATTTTGCCAATTATGGTTTTTATAAAATATATTTACTTATTAGCAGGTCGATGTTTATAGCAACATATCTCAATGTATTACTATTGTTGTAAAATTTATACTTAGTCACCTCTGTAAAAATTAAATCAACAATTAATAAAGATCACAATTTGAGAAGTGCCTTGCAAAAAAAAAAATATTAATATAAATTAGGATTAACAATTTTTCAAAATTAATAAGTTGTTATTAATTTATAGGTTTTATTTTGTTAATATTTATAAGATTAGAGATAATAATAGAGTTATTAAATAAATTATATTGTTATATTTGATTATAGAATATTTGCTTAAGAGAAATTTAAGTCAAAAAGTTTTACAGGTACATTATGTTTTATTAATTTTTATTAAATTGTTAAGGGCTAGAGTAATGGTTAAAATTCTTACATATATTTATGTTGTGATTAATTAATTGTTATTCTTTTTTTGAAAAACAGAAAAAGTAATAAATAATAGGATATTTTCAAAATGAAGCTATAAAGTATTTTTTGTTTTTCTTTTAAAAAAGAAAGGTAATTCTTGAAAGTTCTTATAAAAATATTATTCAAGTTAAACTTTTCTTATTTTTATTAACAATGTTTCTAGTATAGTTAAAGTCGAAGTTTTTAGTTTTGAAGTTTTGAACTATGGTTCTAATTATTGAATTGTATTTTTTTTAATAAAAGTTTTTTTTAAAAATAATAGAATTAAATTTTTATAACATTGGTATTAAGAATTTTTTCTTCTTCTTTCTTTTTATTTTATAATAATAAATTGGTTGAAATAGTAATAAGATTAGTAATAGTAATAGTTCTAACATAATTAGTTTTGTGAATTGTATTGATTTTTAAGTTAAAATAGTAAATTTGTAGTTTTTTGTTTTAGTTATCATAAATAGTTGCATAAAAAATATTTTTGGTTGGTTGAGAAGATTGTTGACTTCATGATAAAAATAGTTAACTTGTAAATTGTATCTGAAAATTCTTGGAAAGAAACAAAAAGACTTGTATAAAGATTGTTACTATAAAAAAATTTTTTGTTAGAAAATTGATTTATAAGAAAAAGTTAGTGAATATTATAAAAGTTAAAATTTGAATTAACAGTAATATATTAATCTTATTTTTTTGGATTTATTTTTGTTAAGATAATTAAACTTGTTTTTTAAATATTTAGAATAATTGTAAAAAATTAGATTTGATTTATTATACTATAAATATTTGCATTGATATAATTTTAAAATAACATTTACTGTTTGAGCTAGTTTACTCTGATTTCTTATATTGTAATTCCAAATAGCCAATAGAATGTGATTATAATCTGTTTATAAAAACGTGTTTTTTATAAATTATATAAGAAACTGTTTGTAATAAAATTATCTGTTTTTTGTATTCCAGAATAGAATATTTTTTCAAATTCGATATTCTTTAGTGATATAGATTTTTATACTTGCTATAATTTTTTGAAATTGTTTTAAAAAGTCTAATTTGATTAGATTGTTTTTCTGTGACTTAAATAAGATTGTTTGTGAACAAAATGAAAATTTGATAAAACTATAATTTATTTAATATAGTCTTTTGTTTTATCTCTATTTATATTTATATAGTTTGAATAGTTATCTTTTTTATAATATTTAAATAAATTTTATAACCAGACTGAGATGCATAATAACCAATTCTAATATTTTTCTAATCTGTATGTTTAATTATTTGAATATCACAAAAAAATTTTCTAAAGGTTGTCAATATCAATTTACATAATTGATATTATTCTCATGATCAAGAGACAACCATATAAAGACTAATCTTTAATTTGTTCTTTATCAAGTTAAAGGTTTTTTAAATATATTTTTCAGTATTAAATAAATTATCCTTGATGAGATTCTGTTGATATCATAAAAATAAAACCTACATAAAGTTCGTTGGAATAAACTTATACTTTTATTCATATAAGAATTTTTAGGAACTTCACATTAATCGTATGTGCATTATCGTACATTTTTTTGCCATATATTTTACATATAAAAACGAGACACCATACGCATATAAACTTTATTGACTATATATCAAAAATAAAAAATAAATTTGTTTAGTAAGTTATCTTGTATAAGTAAAAATATCTTGTAGAAACGATTACAATAATTTTAAAGATTAAAGACTAAATCAACTCAAAAGAACTATGCGGAGAGAATTAGTAAAGTTTTGATCATAATATAATAATTGTAGCTAAAAATCATTCAATACTATATTTTGTAACTCCCATAAATCCAAACAAAACCCATTAACTGCTCCAGCAGGGATTCCTCCAAAGGCATCCTTAAAAAGTTCAATGGCAGGGATATGCAATTGATAAATCGAAATACCAGAGGCATTGCACGTAGTTTCTGAAAACCCGACTCCAACGATGTTATCAAGTGGGACACCAATATTCGCAAGAAATCGTATTGTATTATTATGGAGAGGCGCCGTTCCAAATGATATGATGATATCCGGCACCGTATTAATTTGATTTGTACGTAGGTAGCGCAGTGCAAGCATTGCCCTTGTACCATCTTGACGAATGGGAAACATTTTGATCGCAAGATAAATTCGAATAGTCGTTCGTGGAGAAAAGAAACCTGTCGAGAGATCATGTAAGCTAGGAACAGACTCGCTGTTTCCAACTTCAACAACCAGTGTTGGATATGGTCTCCCTTCTGAGTTAGGTCCCTGGTCAGGTGGCGGTCTAGGAAGTCCTCGTGGTCGGATGGTAAGATCGGCAGTATAGTAACTATTCGGTCCCACAATAAGGTCCTCCTTTTGTGCATTATATAGTTGATTATTCCAGGAACGTATTAAAAATGCAATTTCGCCTGCTACTATTCCATGAGATGTGAGAGGTACTTCGTAAGCTATAATTTTTCCTTCGACCAAACGAATGCTAACAGGTAGCTTTCGCTCAACCTCCCAATATTTGATGTAGGTTTCGATTGATACATTTTCCCTGATAATTATTGGTTTTGTATCCTCATTTGCTTCCATTTTTTCCTCTTGGAATGCAAGTAAACGGTCCCTGACTTGATCAAGGGACTCATTGCTCAATCGAAGGGAGGTCGACTGCATACGGGACGAAGTTGTGGCAGTTGAAACATTAGAACTAAAGTAAGACATTTGGAGGTGATTTTTAGTACTGTATGTTATTAGTTTGGGATTAAGAAAAGGATAGGAACACAGTTGCATATGACTACTCACCTCTGGGTTGCGGTAATAAGGCTTGCACTAGACGAAATACTTAAATGCGAATTCATTATATAAACTTGTCATTTCCGTTTTAAAAATATATGTAATGTATTATTTATCACATATAAGAATTTTTTCTGCTGTCACTATGACGTCAATCGAGAAACTTTATACTGTACAGTATTTATAACTTGTTGGATGTGCCAATCGAAATTTTTAATTACTGTATTTTATGTGAGTAACATCCATCGAGAAGTTGCAGTTGCGGATAACCGATAGGTAATGAATTGGTAGGTTATTACTACAATTTACAAAAAATCGAGTCATTTAACCAGTGCATATTAACTATAATAATTCAGATTATATTGCATATAGTTTTGAAATAATATAATTATAATTATACATGTATTTTTATTTATATTATCCTGACCCAAATTTGAAATGAATTGCTTATCATTTTTACTTTGCCGATACTGTAAATAAATTGTATATCTTTGAGATCTATCATTAGATAGCTATTTCCAATTTCTTTGTTAATCAAAACCAAACAAGCTCAAATCCTTAATGTTCAAAACGTTTTCACGAAAGTCAAGATTTCATTCAATAACCTTCTTATTTGTTATTTTGTTTTAAACTTGGCATGTGAAATTTTATTTTAACATAATAAAAAATTAACTGTATTTACACCGACTTCTGGCACAAACAATTATTGCTTTTTGAATTTTTTTATATGCTGTCGGTGTCAATTCTGCGATAAGTTTTTTCAATATGGGAGATTCTTCCTTTTTAACTCGCATATTTACTTTCTTACTCGATATTTCCATGGTATGTTTGCCAACACGTTTTTTAGGTGAATTTAGAAATAGCTTCAGTTGTTAAATAAATTGAATTCAGGCAAACTGTCAACCGTAGACTTTCCCCCCTTGCAATCATCTCTTGAACATATTGAATGTTTCTTGGTAGAATTTTAAATGCAATCGCGATAAAATGTTTTTCTACAAGTGAGTATGGTAATCTGGATTTTTATCCATACAAAAAAGTTCTAATTGCATAACGAGCATGGATCTAGTTCCGAAATATTCGCGCCTTCTTTAATCTATTTTGAGAATAGACTTTTTAGAATATTTAATGTAAGAGCTTCGAGAGATGAGATATTAACGGATACCATAATGAAAAAACATACCTCATTTTACATTGCCTATATGTCCGTTCGTTTTCCTGTTTACGATGCTAAAAATTATGTATTTCATCTTGAATAGGCATTAAATCCAAAATAATTTACCTGTAAAGTATGTCTAAGGTCTGCAAATTATTAAAAATCATTACACAATAATTTTAACAAGAAAAGAGATTAAAACAATCATTTGTACCATTGCACCAGATATATTTGCGCAGCTAGTGAAAATATAATAGATTATCATCTTGGGGGGCGCCATGAATTACGGTGAACTTTCAGTGAACTCGGAGTTTTCATAGTGTTTGATGAAGAGGAAGAAGAATTTGGAAATACGAAGTTAATAAGAGGAGGAAGATGATGATGAAGGCGGATGGAAGCTTTGACAACAGGTTTATTAGACGTTGATCAAGTTGAGAAAGTAGAAGAACCATACAGCGTTAGTTTACGTAATGTCAAACATACATTAAACTTATCATGTTATTTTACGAGTTTGCATGATCGCCCGCTTATTCATAAGGGTTTAGCTTACAAGTTCGTTCGTTTATATTGGCATAGGCCTTTGTTATTGGTCATTATAGTATAAAAAATTGTTGCGTTTTAAATATCGGGAATAATGACTAACTGTTCAGAATTTAATATTTATACGAATTTAAGTTTATATTTTCTCTTTATTTACTCGATAAAATTTTATACATGTTAATAATTATTAAAATTAAATAATAAAGTTTGGCATCAGATTTAACGATTATTCCCATTACAATAAATATCGATGAAAAGTGTCATCGGCCTCGGAAACTTTATTGTTGCATAAATTTAAAAAACACAAAAATAAAAATAAATCATACACTATATCCATGGTTTTATTATTATTATTTTTTATTAAACTCAGACTTAAAATATTGAACAGGTCAAATGGTCAAATGAGTCAAATCATTTACCAGAAATGTAAATTTCGGGTTGAGTTTCGAGTCGACTAGACTCATTCGGAACACTAGTCAAGACAGTCAGAATTAATATAATTTCAAAGAACCTTGTTGGGCGCTGGAAAAATTGCCGAGGGCAGTCTTACAAAGTCTATTTAATGCTAATGTAACAAGTCTAAAATACATACGTATTTCTGGTCATTAATGATTGCACGGATAACATGTTATAAATTCTATTACACATACAGTATTCAGTGAATATTACATTGTGCTCTTTTAATTCTTTTTTATGTAGTATTAGAAACACCTAAACATTTCCTCAAATATAGTTTTACAATCTATACACATTCAACATTAAACCAATAATTAATCTACAAAATAAAGTTCTTATATCTAATCTTCAATACTTATTAACAAATCCTATTACTACAGTAAACCAATCAAAAATCTATATATCCTTATACTGTAATTCAAAATTTCAACTATCAACCTTTTTTGCTCTTTAAAAACCAACAAAACTCAAAACACTACACTACAACAACTTCTTGGAGAAACTATTTCAATTTAATATTACCTCTCACAATATAAAACCGAAAAACATTTATTAAACAACTTGCTAACAAAAAGCTTATACTATGTTGAACAGCTCTTAATTTCAATGAAAACAAAATCACAAACAGGAAATATACAATATTTCAGCAATATTGAAATACAATATTCAAGAAAAAATATCTTTTGGATATAATATTCTTTCATAATAATTCAATTAAATAGGAATGATCCTTGTGCAATCAAATAATAAAAAAAAAAGATTGAAACTCTTATAAACAATATTTTTTTTGACAAGCATTAAATATATATATATGATCAACAGACAAATATAAATCAAATTCAATCACAACTATTACCTACAAAACAAGAAGAAGAAAGTATTAGTGACAATAAAACAATAGCTAAATAACATAAAGTTAATCTACTTAACTATTGTGTGACATGCAATAATCAGACCTGTATATAAACATTCAACTTATTATTTCATATTAATATAATATATAAGAAAAATCTTCAAAAATCTAAAAATTTTAAAAGTTTCTCAAGCTTCAATTATATCTTAATTGGATAAAAACATTATATATTATTACTATATAATTTTTTAACTATTTTACAATAGCAATATATCTCGGTATTCTAATATTAATTATATAATACTAAATATCTTTTTTATCAAAAAAACTATTTTAATTAAATATATACAGTATGGAAAGTTCAAAATCAGAAATTAAACAATAATCATATATATATATATATATAAATAACATTCCAATTTGGAACTTTCCATACTGTATATTATTATTGATAAGTCTTTTGCTAGTACCAAGTCAAACTTATAAAATTAATATTTTTTTTTATTTGAGATGTAAATTTAACTTAGTCAACTTTAAAACTATTAATTTTATTTTTTATCTTATATCATTCCCTTAAATAGTTTAAGTCACAGTTCTTTTTAATAATTTCTATAACAATACTCTTATGGTAACTTTATTTTTGAAAGATAAATTAATTAATAACTTTTTTAGACATATTTATCCTATTATCACTTATAGTAATTTTTAATTAAATACGTTAATATTGTCTTATTATTTTGTATTCCCTTTTTATTAATAGAAAAAAATATTGATTAGATTAATTTTTTATAATTAAGATTTTCTTTTCCTTCTCTTAATACTTTCTTACTTATATTTATATCATTGTTACTATTTTTAACTAATATATTACAAACTGGTATAATATAATAAAAAGCTTTAATAGTTTATTTTATAATATTATAGTTTATAAATTATAGTAATAGACTATTTGTATTGCTGTTTTGATTAAATATATTATGTAAATATGCATTACTGGATCTTATTTAAGTGTTTTTTTTACTAACAATATATATGTATTATATTCTGTTATAAATAAAGTCTAAAAACAATTATAATATAATTATTGACTTTATAATTAGGGCTCCTAACGATACCACTTCAATACCATTTCGATACCAGTTCGAAACTTAAATTTACTATAAAAACATATGAGTAGGTCACAACCCACGCACAACAAACAAGAATTGAAAAAAGAGAAAAAGGGATATTTTTAATAAATAAATATTATTATTATTATTATTTATAAAATAAAGTTTGTACACATAACAGTTAAATAATTATTTCAAATAGATTTTATTTTATTTTTTCAGAGTTTTATTTTTTATTCAATTTTAATAATCTTTACTTTATCTAAAAACTTTGTTTGATTTTTATAAAAAATTTTCATATACAAAAACTGAAATGAGCCTATTTATATTAAAAATATATAATATATAAATTTTTAATTATAATTTATATTTTCTAATTGTATTTAAACAATTTAACAATTTATAAAATTAAAAAATTATATAATCAATATCTTATATTAATTGTAATAATAATAATATATAATATTATATCAAAATAATATAAAAAATATCTAAAATATAATTTAACTACTCTATTATCATTATTACAAAACCATCATATTATATAATAACAATATATTACAAAAATCCTATAATTAAACTTTTCAAGTTATATGAGATTATGCAATACTAATTGAAATATCTAAAGTATATATTTAGAAACTATATTTAACAAAAGTTACAATATACTATTATTTCTTGTCTTTTTTTATTTAATTTTCTTTATAATATATAACTCTGTCTCAAATTTTTTTATTTTTCTTAATAGATAGTTTTTTGAAATATATCTATAAAAATAGATAATAGACTAATATAATAATAGCTACATATCTTATAT